AGTGGTGGGGCCTGCCTGCCTGCAGACTCAGTGAACAGTGGTGGGGCTTGCCTGCCTGCATAGTAGCTAGCTCGGCAGTGCTTCCTTGGTCTCAAGTGTTCACTGATCTTCACTTTGTTGAGAGAGGCACCACAGAGAACTTGCAGGCTGTGTCTGCTGGGTTATGCCACCACCGATGATTGGTGTTTACGATCCCAACACTTCTGAACTGGACTGCTGGTGCATCCCTGATGTGTTTGAGAGTGGATTGAGCTGCTGCTGCTGATTTCTGTGGACTGAACTGCTGATTTCCGGAAAACACAGATTGGATTTACTCCAAACAATAATTTCTAAGCATGTCCACTTCCCCTGTATCCTAATAACCTTTCTTTTCTACTACCTTTGATGGGTGGTGGGCTAGAGAAGTTAAAGCATTTAAGAACCCCTATTAAAAGTAGGCTTTGAGAAAAGTTAAAGTCAACATAACTGTATATTGATCGTATGCAGAAATATTATTTTATTTGCATTAAACAAAACACATTATTGGAAATTTATCCTATTTCTTTTTTATGTTTCAAAGTTGTTTTTTAAATTGAATTATGTTTTAAATTTTGTTTTATGTGCATTGGTGTCTTTCCTGCATGTGTGATGGTGACAGATGCTCTGGAACTGGAGTTGTAGACACTGCAAGCTATCATGTGGGTGCTGAGGACTGAACCCGAGCTGAGCCATCTTCCTAACCCCTCTAATTTTTTTTAAACATGTAGTTCCTGAGAAATTACAAGCTATGAATATGGTCTCATTATACTTCCATTGTTTAGTTCTGGGCATGACCAGCTCCTGTCTGTCACTGAGGCTGCAGGCAATGTTTGAGCCGAGTCACTAAAATGTCAAAGTACAGCAACAACAAAAAAGTGGTTTCTTTTTTAAAACTGTAAATGATATCGAAAAGAAACAAAAATATTTTGAAACGAATCCCTGTTGACATTTCGGAGTGAAGGAGGCGTGACAAAGACACTAAATCTCAGGGCTGAGGCTATGACAGGCCACTGTGGGAAAGCATTCTCAGCCTAGAAAAACTGTCACAAGACTGCACATTCTGGGACACTCACTAAAGCCATGCCATCACCTTATCAGGGCCGCAGTGGGAGAGCTCAGGCTTTGTTCTCATGTATTGTAAGATATACATCCGAGATAGCATAAGAACAAGTCCAGGCTAGTGCTGAGACTCAAAGGAGACGTCCCTACAGCCACAGCCGAGACACGGCTTTCTCAGAGTGGCTAACTGCAGGGAACAAGATTGCTGTCATTTGAGCAGG